CTCCCTCCCTCCCTCCCTCCCTCCCTCCCTCCCTCCCGCCCTCCTCTTCCCGCCCGCGCCGCTCCTGCACGATCCAGACCTCGGAGCCCCGCAGCGCGCCGCTCCGGGCGTCCGCCCTGGAGCTGGAGCTGCCTCGGGGCGCGTCGGCGCGGCAAGCTGGGCGCCCTCCTCCTGCTTCCCCTCCTACTGCGCCTCCTCCTCATCCTTCCCCCTCGCACTCCTGCTCCTGCTCCTCCTGCCTCCTTTTTCTCCTTTTCCTTCTCCTCCTCCTCCTCCTCCTTCTCCTCCTCCTTCTCCTCCTGCTCTTCCTCCTTCTCCTCCTCCTCCTGCTCCTGCCTCCTCCTCCTCCTCCTGCCTCATTCTCCTCATTCTCCTCCTCCTCCTTCTCCTCCTTCTCCTCCTCCTCCTCCGTCCTTCCGCCGTCAGTAGCCATTTTGGCTCAGGCCTGTCCGTGGGCCCCCTGCTCCTGGACCTTGTCCCTCGGCGTACCCCGAGGCCCCAGTGTCACGGGGCAACTTGGCGGGCGTGAGGGACCTGGATTTGGGCTCGGGCACACGGCTCCGGGAGGGCCCTCACCACCGCCTGTGGCGCGTGAGGCCGCGGAGGCGGTGTTCAGCGGCTTGCCAGTCCCCTCGTGCTGATTTCCGGCGGCGTCTCCAGGCCCTCCGCGGTTTGGAGCTCCCCACGCCGCGCTTGACGCCCTCCTGGGCACGCACAGCCACTGTCTCGGAGCCGCTCGCGCGGATCCCGAGCCCTGGCTGTCGAGACCAGCCCACAGCGACGCGAGGCGCGCGCAGAAGGAGCGGGATGCCGCGCCGCATGGCGCCCTCTCCGGGCCGGGCACTCCTGGCGGGGCTGCGCCAGCCGTGCCCCCGCTCCCTACGGTCAGGTCGGGCATGTCCTCCTACAGGCGGAGGCGGGACGAAAAATCAAACTCAGCCAATCAATCGTCAGAGGTGATCTACCAATGGCCGAGAAGTCGTGCCCCGATGATTTGTGCACGATGTTTTTCCATACTCTCCCCGCAGGGAGACGTGCCCGACTGGACCCTACGGTGGTCGGGGCGTGGCACGCCGCCCACCCGGGGGCGGCTCCGGACGCGGAGGCGGCGCCCGCCGCGGGTCCCCGAGCGCGTCGGCATCGAGGGCCTCCCGGGGGCGCCACCCTGGGGGCCCGGCCCTCCCGCCCCGTCCGCGCCCCCCCCCTGGTGGTGGAGGGGGCGGGGCGCCGCGCGGAGGAGGGAGCCGTGGGGCCCGCTGCTGGCGACGCAGTGTCGTCGACTCGCTATACTCTACCTCGGGCCGCTCTGGCGAGGACAAACCGCAGCGAGGCAGGCAGTCTCAGCGACGATCTGGGCTATAGCAGCGTGCACTTCACTGCTGACGTATCGCTTGGCGTCCCCACTGTGGCTGGTGGGAGAAGGAGTCCGCGCACTTCGGTCCACGTGGTCCAACACGTCGACGCTGCACACGTCACGGAGTTGAAGTTTCACACTTGCGACTGCTGCTCGGTGGTGATTGCTGAGGCTGATGGGTCCGACCCGAGGCGCTGTGGTGCAGGGAGCGCGGCATGCCATTCTGCCCCTGATGCTGGCCGCCCTGGCTCGATCAGCGGCTCCTCGGGAGTGCGAGTATTTTTCGTCGGCGGCGAGGCAGAGGCAGTCCGCACCAGCGTGGGGCTAATCGGGGCAACCGAAATGCGAATTGTCCGGCGTGCAAGAGGAAGGAACGAAGACGTGCGAGTACAAGGAAGTGAAGGACGCGATCATCTCGTTGTCTGCCTGGTCGTGTCTGTCGTGATGCCGCACGACAGCGTCCAGGAGGAGCGTAGGTCGGAGGGCTTCCGCCAGAGGAGCGCAGCGGCAAGCACATCCTCCTCCTTCCGCCTCTCCCCCTCCTACTCCTGCTCCTGCTGCTGCTGCTGCTGCTGCTGCTGCTGCTCCTCCTCCTCCTCCTCCTCCTCCTCCTCCTCCTCCTCCTCCTCTCCTCTGGTAAGGGAGCACCAAGTGGCTCTCGCCTTTGCACCACGCATGTTCTTCTTAAACTTCTGCGGCAGGTTTAAGACATCCTGCGGTTGAATTCCAGGAATGGTGCCCGAACGTGATTTAGGAACGACAGGGCGCAACAATCACGTTGATCCGCGGCTTGGGGTCCCAGGAAGGGCGTTTGAGCACGATTGAGACTTCTCAGACGGTTGTCTTCTCATAGGCCAGCAATGGACATCTTTAAATTCCTGTAAGGACCGATGTAAACTATGGAGAGGGAACTTGGAGGAAAGTTTCATTGCAACATCGTTGATGCGTCTTTGGTTTGCACGGGTCCTCCTCCTCCTCTTCCTCCTCCTCCTCCTCTCGCTCCTTCTCCTCCTCCTCCTCCTCCTTCTCCTTCTCCTTCTCCTCCTCCTCTCGCTCCTCCTCCTCCTCCTCCTCCTCCTCCTCCTTTCTTTCCTCCTCCCCCCTCTCTCCCTCCTTCCCTCCATCCCTCCCTTCATACCAATCCCTCCCTACCTCCCGCCCTCTCCTCCATCCTGATCCCCCCTACTCTCCCCTACTCTAGCTCCTCCTCCCCTCCTCCTCCTCCTCCTCGTCCTCGTCCTCCTCCTCCTCCTCCTCCTCCTGCTTCCTCCTCCTTCCCCCTCCCTCCTGCTCCCCACCATTCTTCCTCCTTCCTCTTTCCGCATGTCGGGCCACGCCGGTCTCGCATGGCGCTCCCCCCATCGCTAGCGCATCCTGGCGAGCCTCGTGTGCGTTCTGGTTCCCGGGCGCCCGGCGTCGCCCCCTCGTGGGCAGAGTCCCCAGGCCAGGGCAGTGGCCTTGGCAGGCCGCCTAGCTTCCGCCTCCTCCTCCTCCTCCTCATCCTCTTCCTCGTCGCTCCTCCTCCTCCTCCTCCTCCTCCGCCTCCTCTCCTCCTCCTCCTCGCTCCTCCTGCGCTCCTCCTCGCTCTCTCCTCCTCCTCGCCTTCCTCCTCGCTCCTCCTCCTCCTCCTCCTCCTCGCTCCTCCTCCTCCTCCTCCGCCTCCCCCTCCGCAGCCCGGGCCACCCCTCGCTCCGCCTCTCTCCTCCTCCCCCTCCTCCTCCTCCTCCTCCTCGCTCCTCCTCCTCCTCCTCGCGCCTCCTCCCTTCCTCCTCCTCCTCCTCCTCGGCTCCTCCTCGCTCCTCTCCTCCCTCCTCCTCCTCCTCCTCGCTCCTGTCCGCCTCCTCGCTCCTCCTCTCCTTCGCTCCTCTCCTCGCTCTCCTCCTCGCTCCTCCTCTCCTCCTCGCTCCTCTCCTCGCTTCCTCCTCCGCAGCCTGGCCACCCCGACGCCGCGCGGCGTGCTCCGCGCGCCCGCCGCGGCGCCTTGCTCTCTCTCGTCTCGCCGCCCGAACACTGGCCCCCCGGGGAGGGTGGCAGAGCTCCTGGCCCGGGCCGCGGAGGGAGCGCTGAGGAGGAGGGGAGGAGGATGAGGTGAGGAGGAGGAGGGGGAGGAGAGGAAGGAGGAATGAGGAGGAGGAGGAGAGGAGGAGGAGGGGAGGGAGGAAGCGCGAGGAAGGAGAGGAGGAGGAGGAGGAGGAAATGAAGGAGGAGGAGGAGGAGGAGGAGGGAGGAGGAGGAGTAGGAGAGGGGGAGGAGGAGGAGGAGGAGGAGGAGGAGGAGGGCCCAGCGGAGGAGCCGGAGCGCGGTCTTCCTCGCGGGGCGGCCCCCGGAGGCGGGCGCGGACGGCCAACAGGGGGCCTTGGCGGGCGGGGCGGGAGGGGGTGGGCTCGCCACGGAGGGGGCGCTTGGGCCGAGGAGGGGGAGGAGGAGGAGGAGGGGGGGAGAGGGAGAAGGTGGACCCAGGAGTCCGGAGGCCGGACACCCGAAACTCTGGACTCTAGAATCTTAAGCTCCTGATTCCAGGGTCGGTGCCCTACACCCCTCCTCCTGCTGCTCCTCCTCCTCCTCCTCCTCGGCCTGGTACTTCGGGGTCTTCCTCTCTTCCTCCTCCTCGTCCTCCTCCTCTTCCTCCTTCTCCTCCTCCTCCTCCTTCTGGGGGGGAGGAGAGGAGAGAAGGGAAGGAGATGAGAGGAGGATAGGAGGGGAGGAGAGGAGAGGAGGAGACGAGATGAGACGAGAGAAGGGGAGGAGAGGAGGAAAGGAGAGGAAAATATGATATGATGATAAGAGAGGGCAGGAAAGAGGAGAGCAGAACATGAGAGGAGAGCAGAGGACAGAAGGACATGATGAGAGGAGAGCAGAGGAGGAGTGGACAGAAGGAGAGGAGAGGAGAAGAGGAGAAGAAAGGAGGTGAGGAGCAGACGAGGAGAGGAGTGGAGATGAGGAGAGGAAGGCAGAGGAGGAGAGGAAAGGCTAGGAGGAGAGGAGAGAGTGAAGAGGAGGGAGGAGAAGAGAGGAGGAGAGGAGAGGAGGAGATGACAGTAGGAGAGGAGAGGGGAAAATGAGAGGAGAGGAGAAGACTGGAGGGGAGGACAGGAGGAGAGAAGAACAAAAGAGGAGAAGACGAATACCCGGGAGACCCGGGAATCTGGAGGGCGGGAACCCGTAATTTTGGAGTTCAAAATTTTCGGGCAGGGCTCCTAACGAGCAATCCAGAGTTCCGGGTTTCCGCGCCGCACCCCACTGGGCGCGACCGTTTCCCCTTATTCTGGTCCTCGTCCTCGTCCTCCTCCTCCTTCTCCCTCCTCCTCCTCTTCTCCTCCTACTCCTCCTTCGTCTTCTTCTTCTCCTCCTGCCGCCTTTCTACTCTGCGCGAGCTCCCGTCTCCCTCCTCCGTTCTCAGCGCGAACTCCCGCGCGCGCACTCCTTCATCGTCATCGATATCGCCATCATCGCCATCATCGTCATCGTCATCGTCATCGTCATCGTCATCGTCATCATCATCATCATCATCATCATCATCACCATCATCATTATCATCATCATTATCAGCATCATCACCATCATCATCATCACCATCATCATCGTTAGCATCAACATCATCACACTCGTCGTCGTCGTGTATGCCCACCACCATAGTTAATCGTCCGCATCATCAAAATCGTCAGCATTGTCACCGCCATCGTCATCATCATTATCAGCATGTCATTCGTCCTCGTCATCATCATCGTCATCGTCGTCATCTTCGTCTTTATCGCAGTGATCCTAATCATCATTCTCATCACCACCATCATCATCATCATCATCATCATCATCGTCGTCATTATCGTCATCGTCATCGTCGTCGTCGTCGCCGACCCGTCGTCGTCGTCCTCGCCCTAGTCGTCCTCGCCTCGTCGTAGTAGTGCAACAGTCAATCGCCATTATCATCGTGAGCATCATCATCGCCATCGTCATCGTCTAGTCATCGTCATCATCGTCACCATCGTGATCACCACTACCATCATCATAGGCATTATTTCATCACCACCTCCACCATCTTCACCATCATCGTTAGCGTTAGCATCACCGTCCTGATCATCATCATCCTCGTCGTAAGCAACACCAGCAACATCATCATCAGCAAAATCATTCGCGCCATCATCATCATCAGCAGCATCATCATCATCATCACATTGTCATCATCATCCTTATCATCATCATCGCCATCATCATCATCGTCGTCATCATCATCACTATCAGTATCAACATCATCATCCGTATCTTTATTTTCATTATCGTCACCACCATCGCCATCACCATCACCATCACCATCACCATCACCATCACCATCATCATCATCATCGTCGTCACCATCATCATCATCATCACCATCGCCATCATCATCATTCGCATCATCATTAGCGCCACCATCATCAACATCATCGTCATTGCCATCGTCATCGTTGGCATCATCATCATCATCATCATCATCATCATCATCATCATCATCATCATCATCATCATCATGATCATCACCGTCATGCTCGTCGTTATCTGGGTCATCGTCAGAGTCCCCATTAGCCTCGTCGTCGTCAGCGGCACCATCGTCATGAACATAAGGGACGTATTCGTCATCGTCAGCATCATCAGCACACCCATCATCGTCATCGGCGTTGTCGTCGTTATTGCCATCATCCTCATCGTCATCATCAGCACCACTATCATCATCATCATCATCATCATCATCATCATCATCATCATCATCATCATCATCATCATCATCATTAGCGCCATCATCATCAGAATCATCGTCATCGTCATCGTTGGCATCATCATCATCATCATCATCATCATCATCATCACCGTCATGCTCGTCGTTATTTGAGTCATCGTCAGAGTCCCCATCAGCCTCATCGTCGTCATCGGCACCATCGTCGTACACGTAAGGGACGCATTCGTCATCGTCAGCATCATCAGCACACCCATCATTGTCATCGTCATCATCGTCATTGCCATCATCCTCATCGTCATCATCAGCACCATCATCATCATCATCATCATCATCATCATCATCATGGTCATTATCATCATCATCATAATCATCGTCATTGTTATCATCATCATCATCATCATCCTCGTCATCGTCATCACCATTATCATTATCACTAAATTTCCTATTATTATGATCATCCCCATCGCTGTGGACAACATCGTCATGGTCAACATCATCATCAATACCATGGTCCCCTCCATCGCAGTCAATGTCATCGTCATCATGAGCATCATCCTTCCCATCCTCATCGTCGCCGCAATCATCGTACGAAGCATCAGCACATGCGACATCATCATCATCACCATCACCATCACCATCACCATCACCATCACCATCACCATCATCATCATCATCATCATCATCATCATCATCATCATCATCATCATCATCATCATGACCAACGTCGTCAGCGTCGTCACAAGCATCATGCTCATCCGTACCATCCTCGCCGCCACCCTCCTCGTCCCAATCGTCGTCGTCATCGCAATGCCCATCAACATCAGCACCAGTATCAGCAAGACCATCGACATGATACACATCGTCATCGTCATCGTCCCCATCCTCATTATGACCCCCCTCATCCTCAACATCATCGTCATCGTCACCATCACCAAGGACCACGGGGCCGCCAGGACTCTGAGCCTCCCGAGGGGCCACCGAGTGCCTCCGCAGAGGCCACCAAGAGCCTCCCGAAGGGCCACCAGCAGCCTCCTGAGGGGCCACCGAGAACCTCCTGAGGGGCCACCAAGGGCCTCCTGAGGGACCACCAAGAACCTCTTGAGAGGCCACCACAAGCCTCCTGAGGGGCCACACCAAGTGCTTCGAACCCTAAACTCCGAAGTTCAGGGATGCTCCTCACCAGATTCCAATGGAATCGGCAGAGGGGATTTCCTAAACTCCAGAGTTCAGGGATTGAACCTCTGGACTCCAGTGTTTTTCGAGAACGAGGGGAAGGAGGCACCTTAGGATGAGGGAGAGGAGGAGCATGGAGGAGGAGGAGAAGGAGGAGGTGGAGGAGGAGAAAGGGAGGAGGGGGGGGGCGAGAATGAGAATGAGGATGAGGGTGAGGAGAAGGAGGAGGGGAGGAGGAGGAATATGAGGAGTATGAGGAGGAAGAGCGAGGAAGGAGAGGAGGAGAAGGAGCAAGGATGGAGCAGAGTGGGGCAAGGGAAAAGGAGGAGGAGGAGGAGGAGAAGCAAGAGGAGGTCCCCGCTGCCGTGTGCGTCGCGGATGCTGTGCTTGAAGGTCTGCACGAGATTGGGGTGGGCCAGGGTGGCGGACAGCGACCCCTCGAACTCCATCAGGGCGTGGGGCTCCTTCTCGTAGTGCTCCACGACTTTGAGGGCGACCGTGGACACGTCCCAGCGTGCCCGATAGACTCTGCCGAACGACCCACGGCCGACGAGGTAGATCATTTTCACGTCCTCGAAGGGAGGGCGAGGCGGCAGCAGGCAGCCGAGGCTCTCGACGGTGTTGCCAGGCCTCGCCAGGACGCCATCGGACGTGGTTCTCAGCGCCTTCTCGGGTTGGTCCTCCTCGCCGAAGTCTATTGCGGGCAGTGAATCCAGGCTCCGGCTTTTCCACGCCTCGGAGGTGTAGGTGGTGGCCGAATCGGCGATAGACCTCTTGGAGGAATGTGCACTCGGCGATGGGGGAGGGGGAGGAGGAGGAGGAGGAGGGGGAGGAGGAGGCGGACGACGACGAAGAGAGCGAGGATAAAAAGCTGAGGACAGGGAGGAGGGCGGCGTCGTCGCCGTTGTCGTCGTCCTCCTCCTGCGTCCTTCTTGCTTCTGCGTGCTCCTGCCCTGCCGCGCCACCCGAGGATCCGCAGACCGGGCCAGATGCAGGGCCAGCAGTCTCCAGAATGCGGCTCTGGGAGGGAGGGCGGGAGGGAGGGCCCTCGCCTCAGCGCCGCGAGCATGCGTTTTGGCACACTTCCAGCGGTGCGGGGAGGGGAGGGCGGGAGGGAGGGCGGGCGGGAGGGCCCTCGCCTCGGCGCCGCGAGCATTTTTTTGCAAGAGTTCGGTGGGCTCCGAGGATCGACGGCCCGCGTCTCCGAGGCGTGTGGCTCTCGGCTTCGCGCCGCGCACATTCGCAGCAGAAGCTCCGGGATGCTACAGGGTGGAGAGCTTATGATATCTGTAGAGGTAAAAAATCCACCCCCCATAGCAACCACCCCGACACGCGAAGTCGTTTAGTGAACGCTCCCAAAGAAGGAATCGAACAGGGCAAGGCTGTTTAGTAAGCACCCGAGGCCGTTTAGGAAACGCCAATGGTCTGGTCCGGGTGGTTCTTCCTCCCTTGAATCTGGGATGATGCGCTTGCCTTACCGCTGAGCGATTTCGTTAAAACCGTTCCAGCGGTTACGAAGATGGAGTGTCAGCGGTTGCCGAAGTGTGGCTTCCGCCTTAACACCGTGCAAACTCGTGTTCGAAATTGCCAACCGCTGCAGGCATGAAGGGTGGGTGGCTTCTCAAGTGTGGCTCTCGCCTTACCGCCGCGTGCATTATTTGGTTTACGCAGGTTTCCCAACATTTGTCAGGATGGAGGGTGGTTCGCTTTCAAAATGCGGCTCTCGCTCGAGGTGCCCCCAGAATTCACGACCCGAAATTCCAGCGTGTGCAGCCATTTCACGGATGAAGGTCGGCTCCTTTTCAGAATGGCGCTCTCGCTTCACGTCGACATCCGCAGCTTTGCATGACCAGAGCTCCGATACCGCGCAGCACTAACACGCATGAAGGGCAGAACCCGCACAAAACGGCGGTGCCGTGGGACACTTCCGCACCACTTTCAGACCCCACGTCTTGGAGCTCCCTTGCCCTAGGCCGCGGTCCGGAACTTTTGACCGCCGCGTCGCGGCGGCGGCCCCGGCGACACGCCACACCCCGCAAGAGGACAGCGCGTCGCTCTGCGGGGCGGGAGGCCACGAGCGGCATTCCTAGACTGCGGCCCTGGGACGCACAAGCAAACAGACACAAATCCAGGGATTCTCTAGACTTTCTCATACTTTCTTCTGGCTTTTCGTCCTCCCCCCCTACTTCCCAAACTTTCCCATCTTTTTCTGGTGAACCGACGATTCATTGTGTCCGTGGGTGTTCTTCCCCTCCTGGACTAGAAGGATGTGTACGGTTTCCCCCAGGGCTGTAGGCGTCCCGAGTAGGAGGAGGAGGAGGAGGAGGAGGAGGAGGAGGAGAGGAGGAGGAGGAGGAGAGGAGGAGGAGGATGAGGAGGAGGAGGAGATGAGGAGGAGGAGGAGCAGGAGGTGGAGGAGGAGGAGGAGGAGGAGGAGGAGGAGGAGGAAAGGGAGGAGGAGGAGGAGGAGGAGGAGGAAGGAGGAGGAAAGGAGGAGGAGGAGAGAGGAGGAGGAGGAGGGAGGAGGAGGAGGAGGAGGAGGAGGAGGAGGAGGAGGAGGAGGAGGGGTCGCCAAAGCCCTTCGGAGAAACCCTCCAGAAGGATGGTGGGCGGATCCTTTCCCAAGCGGGCCCCCCCGCGTGAGCGGCAGGATCGCCAAGCGATATCGCGGCCCAAGGGGCAGGCGCTTCTCGCAGGGGAAAGGTAGGGAAGCTGGAGGAGCGGCTCTGGAACGGGAGGGTGTGCTGCGGACCCGTTGGCGCATCCTGGGTCTCGTCTGGCCGCTCCCCCCTGCCTCCTCCAACTCCTCTCGTCGTCACGATCGGGGGGGGGGGGAGACATGTGATGAGGACAAGGATAAGGAGAAGGAGAAGATGGAGGAGGGGGAGGAGGAAGAGGAGGAGGAGGACAAGGAGGAGGAGGAAGGAGGAGAAGGATGAGGAGGTGGAGCTGGAGCTGGAGGCGGGAGGAGGAGGAGGAGGAGGGAGGAGGAGGAGGAGGAGGAGGAGAGGAGAGGAGGAGGAGGAGGAGGAGGAGTAGGAGGAGGAGGAGGAGGAGGAGGAGGAGGAGGATGAGGAGGAGGAGGAGGAGGAGGAGGAGGAGCCCCCGGGCGGGCAGCCGGTTGGTGTGGGCGGCACCTCCCGGCGTCCGGGGGAACTGAAACCCGCTCAGTCGTGGCCTGTGCGGGGGCTGCGCCGCTGCTTAAACCACCCACCCACCCACGGCATTGCCGTGGGTGGGTGGGTGGTTTCGGCAGTGGGGGCACCGACCCCGGTCTTCGGACCCAAACGGTAATCCCGATTCGGCTGCGGCCGAATCGGGTCCCCTCCACTGTCTTGGCCCGGCGACTCCCCGGTCGCGCCAGGGTGTGGAGGGGGGGTCTGGCTTCGGCCAGGCTCACGGGGTGTCCTGCTCTGTCCCCCTTGGGCAAGGGGACTGGGGGGAGCGGGCCTGGCTACCCATGTGCGGAAACACGCACCGTGTGCCCCGCACGGTGACGTGGGGTAGCCTGTGTCCCCTGGTGCAGGAAGAGCCAGGGAGGCATGGGGGCTGGCCGCCGTCGGCGGTCAGTGCTGCTCAACGAGCAGCACGCGTGAGGCCGGCGCCTCCTCTTTTTTCCCCTTCTCCTCGCCTCGCTCTCTCTCCTTCCTCTGGCCCCGCCGGCGGGGCGGCCCCTAGCTCTAGGGGGTCGCGGGGTGGGCGAAGCCCCATCCCTCGGGCGCTCGTGGGGGCTGGACCCCATGCGCGCCTTGCTTCGTGCGCAGGAGGAGGAGGAGGAGGAGGGGAGGAGGAGGAGGAGGAGGAGGAGGAGGAGGAGGAGGAGGAGGAGGAGGAGGAGGAGGAGAGAGGAGGAGGAGGGAGGAGGAGCTGGAGGGAGGAGGGAGGAGGAGGAAGAGGAGGAGGAGGAGGAGGAGAAGGAGGAGGAGGAGGAGGAGGAGGAGGAGGAGGAGGAGGAGGCGAAGGAGGAGGATGTGATAGCATCATGATCAGCTTGCACGTGGGCGGCAGGGATATGGGCACCAGCAACAGCAGCAACAGCAGCAACAGCAGCAACAGCAGCAGCAGCAGCAGCAGCAGCAGCAGCAGCAGAGTGTCCAGTTAAGATCCCTCGGAGCGGGGTTCCAAGATGCACCACGGCTGCTCCCGCTGCCTCGGCGCGGCGCTCCCCGCCAGATCCTCCGGGTGGAAAGGGGGGGGGCAGAGGCGCAGCCTCAGAGCTGGAAGCGTGAAAGCCCCAGCCGCGGGGCCTGATGACCCGCCGACGCTTGGGGCCTCGCGAACGTGTCCTCGACCTGGATGGCGGCAATCTTGATGCGCTTGCCCGCGCGAGCTTCCCGTCCCGGGATGCCTCGTCTGTAGACGGCGCTTGCTCAAGGGGTCGCTTACGCAGATCATCAAGGTCGTTGGCAAGCTATTCTTCAAGTCCAACAGCGTTCGGTCCAACATCGCACATGTCACCCGATTGGGCCTGTATGGTGGCGCGCCGCGTGTCGCGCATATCGCACCACTGTTCGAACGTCAGGCAATAATCTTTACACTATGCAGGCAATTCTGCGTTAGTGATCAGGTCCAGGTTCGGCGAGGTCTGTGCTGCGGCGCCAGCGCCAGCACCGCCTGCACCCGCTTGGCCCGCGGAGCCCGCGCTGCATGAGGGGCCGGCTCCACCGCCAGCGAACGCTGCAGGAGTCGCTCCAGCGCCGCCACGTGCCGCCGAAAGGGCAGGGGCTTGCGCCGCAACTCGCGCCCAGGCCTCGCAAGCACGGGTAACCATCTGGATCTTCTTCTTCTAGCAAGGATCGGGGCTCAGAACCTGAAGAGCAGCATCGGCTTGCTGTCGTTTGGCCTCTGCATCGTCCAGCTCCGCAGTCGCTGCAGCCAGTTGAGCAACTGCTTCCTGAAGCTGGACACGTATTCTGTTGCACTTCGCCTCCTTGAAAATGTCGTCTTGGTGGGCAATCCGCCCCGCACGGACCGCAACTTTAACTTCGATCAGCATCACCACCATCATCATCAACATCACCATACTTATTTCGGGTAAGACCGCGAGTCGGCGGTTGCCCCCCTCGGGAGAGCGGGATCATCACCATCATCAGCACAACCGTCATCATCATCCATCATCAGCACCATCATCATCAACACCATCACCATCACCAGCATCATCATTATCATCATCATCAGCATCCCCATCATCATCATTACCATCGTTAGCATCATCGCCATCATCATCATCATCATCATCATCATCTCAACGCTATCCCGTGCCACGCCCATGCTGCGTTACACTTTTTGCTGTGTGGGCCGGGGGCCTGGGCAGCCTGGTCAGGGGCCGGGACGCTGTGGAACCCGGGCCTGAACGAAAGGAAAACATTTCAGCGCGCTGAGACACGAAACGAGGCGAGGAGGCGAGCAGGGAGGGAGGGAAGGGGCGAGAGAACTGAGCCAGACAGTTTCGGAGGATAAACCCTCGCGGCGCTCAATCGCTAATGAGATGACAAGTGAGACAAGACCATCTCAACGCTATCCCGTGCCACACCCATGCTGCGTTACACTTTTTGCTGTGTGGGCCGGGGGCCTGGGCTGCCTGGTCAGGGGCCGGGGCGCTGTGGAACCCGGGCCTGAACGAAAGGAAAACATCTCAGCGCGCTGAGACACGCCCGAGTCTCAAATGGTAACGTGGCCCCCGGGGGCGACCCGAGAGGGTACACACGAGCACCCGGGGCCGAACACTCAAATAACATTAACTAACATTGACATTCTGCTAAAACCGATCC